ATATGGCCATCTTCAGCGCTCACACTATTTCCCTAGCAAACGACTAAAAGCTTCAGAGGAGGGGGTGTACCGCGCCAATAACGCCGCGGGGCTATACTAGATTACCAGGGGCATATTTTTGATGCGAATTGCGTGTCGTTTGCACCTTTAGGCCGATGTCACACTGCGAATCGCTCGATTCGCAAAGCCTGACATCGGCCGTAGGAGGTCCGCCGTCTCTCCACTGAATAGGTTCGACCTTCGTCCTTATTGTGGAATTCTTTAAATCGTCGGTGTCGAAAGTCATGGACAGTCAGTATGTCTGAATGCATCGCCTAATACGCATCGTGGATTGGCCGTGCCCCAGCCGTCGGGTTGTTGGTCCTTTGAACAGTTTGATGTTAGAATGTTTTCAAGCGGTTGTTGAGAACTTGGTTCTTGAATGCCGCGTTCATACTCTACGATTCAATAGATTAAGAGTTCAGACGTAATGGTTAGGAGATTATAAGGCCAGGATTCACATGGAAAAATCTTCTAATATCGTGGTCTTCTAATCGCCTAGTATCCTAACCCTTATTCTCTCATTCTCCAGCTAATTAAGTTGATACGTATCTGATCTTTTGGGGATCGACCAACCTGCTGATCTCACAATCAGTGCATGTCTTTTTTGTTATCATCTAGTTTTCTAATCTTGGTGGAGTATGAACACGGAAGAGCTCAAAGAGAATTCGTAGTAGTAGCCAAAAAAGAAGTGCAAATGACCGAGCTAAGGGTCTTGCTTGCCTTCGAGATGAAGAAGTCTCAAGGTGGGTCTATATAATTAGAAACCCTGCAGAGAGATGATAGATCAGAGGAATTTGTATAACAATTATTATAATACAATGTAAAATGTTGAGGACAGCGCAGGACACATACGTCCCACATTTGTACGCGGAACATACTCGTTTTGCCTATTTTGCCTCCATTTTTTGCTTCCGAAATAGTCCATGTCCATTATCGAATGCGAAAATAGCACACTCGTTACCAGAAATGAAATCATGGATGAATTGTAACTACTGATGCAAATTTGTAACAAAACTGTTGAGTTGATGAGTGCATATCGGCGCGTTGACGTGTTAGCTCAAAAACTGTACCTCAATCTAATAAATTCACGTCTATGTTCATATCATATCTTGATGCTCATCGGTTAAGACGGGTTTTCCTTACTGATAGAACTCATTGTTCGATTGTGTATCAACTGATAGTGGATAGGAAGGATGCTTCATTGGCAGTTGCCTCAGCTTATCAATCGGACGACAGTTGGTTCGCTTTCTTTGCCGTTCACTAGCAGCGTCTTTTGCTCTGTGTAATTTCCCATGTACAGCAATAAGTGGTAGTATTATTGTTCGCTCCAGCAGTCTTTTTCATTTCTGATAACTTTTCCTAAACGTTTTCTTTTTGTCACTTTCCGTCTGAGAAAATCTGACATTTTGATGCCGCTTATCGTTCTGCTCTTGTTTTTGTTTGAACTTCTGTGAGCTTCTGTTTAATTAGCCGTATCGTTCGATTCAAGGAATTTGCTATGTGAACGATTTCGTAAAACGCTTGTTTCAGGTTATGTGTTGCTGATAAAGCTTGCCCATCTATCCCTCCTGCCTTTACCGTGAATTGTCGTAAGCATGCCCCCAGGAACTTCAAATGTCAATCAGAATCTTTTCCACTTACGACGGATTCCTCCCAATAAGTGCCGCTCAGATCCATCTCGAGGTGTTGAAGCTACGCTTATTTTGTAAGTGATTTACTTATGATTTTGGATATCTCACCTTGGTTACAAGGCTTCTGTCAACCAAAGGGTGAGAGCGTAGCTGGAAAAGCACACACTTTGTGTCTTATTGGGACTAAGCCTTTTGAAGAAGATAAAGAAAGAGGAGATGCTGTGATAGTGTGCACTTGAGCTCCCAGACATCACTACAAAACGCTGAACCGCCAAGCCTCACGGTTGACAGAAGTCCTGAGACCATCTTTCCTTATCTTGTGTTCTGACACACTATCCGACTCTTCGCTCCCTTTTGGATATCTTTTTCCGCTCACTCCCTCAAGGGAGACATTCTAAACAAGGCGGATGGCGAGTGGCACTAGAAATAAACCCAGGAGAGGGGAGAATTGCTAGGGAGATCCCAAACTGCTCACATCCTTCCA